CTATATTTTTTATTTCATATTAATGTAATTTGTTTGAGTATTAAGTTGTGAAAGTGCACATTTGAGTTTGGATACACGGATCCAAATGTTAGATTCCAAAGAGAAAAGGATATCCCTTAGGGAGATAGCCATTTTCTATTTGAATGACTAAATTTGGATCATTTTTTCATACCCAAAGAAGAAATGGTGGCCTTCCCCATAAAGGAATAGCTTCCTTTTCCATTTGGGAAGCCTACTACAAAAAATCCAAGGAGCATGAAAGAAGAAAGACTGAATAATTAAAGACGAAGAGTATCCTACTCAAAGTCACTTGCATCCTTATTAGGACTGGAATCTGGATTGTTTTCAGTGATGTCCGACCACTTTACTTTTTGCACTTCTGGGTTATAATAAGCAAGTCAATTTACATATGAATATTTATTAAGTAATTTATTCGTATATGATGTGTTAATGTGATTGTGTATATGATTACTTGTGTTCCTTAGTTTTTTTTGTGTTTGTATGCCTCTTTTGCGTTAGCTTGGATACGTGAGGTTCATGAGGGTGTGAAAGATTTTCTACTTACAATTAAAAGTTTAACATTTTAGGAGTTAAATAACATAGAAATATAACAAATCTAGGGAATTGAATGGTCTGTTCGATCTTAGAATTGAAATCTAAGCTTAATCCCAAATTTCCCAAAGAAATTTTCAAAACTCAAATCAGCATTCTTTGGAAAAAATCAATCAACAATGATTGCTATCATCATGCCCGAATAATTATCAAATAGTGGTATCTTCTCCCTTAGGGGATATATATCATTTGTTCATAAGATTTTTGGCATGAGATCAATGATAATCTATTTAGAATATCATAGTTATAAATCAAATCAAACTCCATTTTGACCTTTCGAGATCATATGTGGTTCTATTTCATATCTAGTTATGATATTCAAGGTAGGATTTGTAATTTTAGATTTGAACTCCACTATAAAATTTTATTTCCACTTCTCGAAGTGGTATGACTTTTCTAATGGGACATTTGATCTCAAAATTCGAATCTAAAAGTCGACTTTAAATTTCCAAACAAAACTGATCTCTTTTCAAAACCCATTTTTTTTTTTTCAAAAATTCCACCAACATATAGCCAAACTTTTTAGCATTACAACCAATTCAACAATTATAAATATTTGAATTTAATGTTAGAGAACAATTTATCTTTAAGTATAATAAATGAAAAAAAAAATGTTAAATAGATATAATTCTAAATCATGAGATAGTAAGTAGCTCAAATTAATCCTCAAACTTATTCAGCTTCTAATAAAATGTGAGTGAGTAATGAATATTTCTAATATCATCCAAGATGACACTTTGTATTAAGCTTAGTTTAACATTTGATTTTGTTTTTCATTAGATAGTATTTGCTCGGGCTATGTTAATACGAATGCCACCTTACTGCAATAGTTTTTACCCCAAGGGACTCACTTTCAATTTATAAGTTTTATCATCATTGCGTAAACTCCCATTACTTGAACTCAACAACAACCAACCAGGCAACCAATTAACAATTAAATAAATACAAATATTGAAAATAGCTATCATAAGAGGCCATAACCAACCTGAGAAACCAACCCAAAAAACTACAATATATAAGGTATAAATTCACCAACAAACACAATTGACTAGCAAAACTGAACAAAAATAAAAGTAAAAGTGTAAAACTAATATAAATTCAGCAATAGTTAGCAAGTTCATCAACAACCACTAGCCAAACATAACTTAACAGCCAACCCTAGCCAAAACCCAACAACCAACCATTTGTAGAACCCAACAACCAACCATTTGTAAAACCCAACAAGGAATTACAGAACATCCATAAGATTCTACAACCTATTGGTATAAATTCAACAACATCAAACAAGGACAACATAAATAGTTTTAGCAGCCTTAAGCCCTTAGGCAATACAACAACAGTTCAACAATCAAATTCAACTCAACAACAAAAACAACAGACGATGTAACTAGAATCATAAGAGGATGAAAAACTATATAATGACCGAACTTTCATTAGGTTCTCTTTCGAGGATAAAATCAAAACAGAACCAAAACGGGAACATCCTTCTATGCTTCTTACTAATTCATGAAACATTATTGCATCCATCATTAAATGGCTCTATCACATTATCACCACTACCCATTTGCTCATTCTCATCAACAAAATTCTCAAGAAAGGTGTTTGAATCCTCTTTCTAGCCAACCAAATATGTTGATAGAGGCAATAAATAAATATGAAAAACTAAATCTTAAATGTCAAACTAATAATGCATTACATAATAATGTAAAGCATAAAAGTGAACAATGCTGATTCAGTTGCAATATGCAACAACAAAGTGCAAATATAGTGCAACAAGAATCAAAATCACTATAAAGTGCATAAAAGCTAAAACGAAGTATAACAACATTGCAACATGTTTCAAAGATACGACCGCCCATAACCCACCAACCCACAAGCCACTAAGGCACTAACAAATACTAAGAGTCTAAGATATAGATGTAAATAAGATAAAGATACTACAATTTACAATGCAATAAAAAATAACTATAATGCATTTAATTAATTTATACAACCTAAATGAAAAAAAAAAGAATATACAAGCACATGCTTAATAACATCATAAAGGGATGTACGAAATGACAAACAAGCTGGCAACAAGGAAAACAATCCTTTAAATAACCCTAAAAAAATACTAAACCCTAAAAAATCGAAAGGAAAATTAGGAAAAAAATGATGCCCCTAATGGCCTACCCTAACTAGCTAATTGATTCAATGCAAAAACCAAAACTAACATGTCCAACACAATATTTATTTTGAGCGACAACCAACAACAAATGAAAAAAAAAAAAAGAAACTATAAATGGAAAAAAAAAAAAAAACTAGTTGTTTCTTACGAACACAACAAGGAAGCAATAGATAAGAACAAAGTAGAAATTAAGTAAGAGGAAGTGAGGAGCTGAGGTATAAGGAGAGCTACACGATGGAGGTGTATGAGACTGGAGAGTGGAGAAGAAGCCCTAAACAGATGAAGCCATAGAGCAGGGACAAAGAGGTGAGCTGCATATAATTGAATAGTGACCGGCCATGATACGTGTAGAAATGAATACAAACTAAAATTAATCATGTAAATCAGACCACTCACGCATAAATGAAGTCGTGCCACGGGGCAATCTGGGTCGAAAATAGGGTTTTCTGTTTGACCCAAATCTGACATGAAATTTGAAACGGGGCGAAGTAGGGAACCTGAAGTCGACCTATTTTTCAAACGGGTTGACCCTAACCCCAAAAATTCGGGTCGAGTTCAAGCTGGGTTTTCATGTCATGTTAATTTTTGACTACCTTAAAAATCATAGTACCTCGACTATGCAATAATCATGCATGATAACTTGAGTAGAGCAGGTAAGTTGAGTCCCCCTCCAGGTTCAAGCTAAAAAAATATTAGACTACTCCCTATGACAAGCCAAGAAGCCAAGCCACTCAAGATATACGAGCACTCCAGAGCCCCCAACGTGAAGGAGATTCATCTTTTTAGCGAAATCTACTTTTTATTCCCTCTTGAATATATTTCAAATCTTAAAAATGGAAAATTTCAGACAAGCTCGTCCACAATTAAGAAATAATAGCCTATTTGCAAATTATTTGCATTACACTTGGGAAACTCATGCGAAGATGTAAGAAATTTCTTTACGAGATTGAATGCATATAAACACATTCGCTTCTCTTACATGAATAAAGTTTCATCAAACTCACCCTCATGCTAAAATTACAAAGTTATTCACCACCATCAAACAAGAAGGATCAAGCATCCAACCATATGAATTACTCTATAGAATGGTAAAAAACAAACAAAGGTAACATAAACAACATGTATTTCATATCTTTCATTATAAGAGTCTACAAATGTTATGACACAACTTATTTATAGTCCTTATGGTTAAATTTATTTAGTGATTCTTCAATGTCAACATCCTCACTTGAATTTATTCTAAATTGGTCATCCAAATTTTTATGGAGTTTCTTATCCTTAAATTGTGGTTTATTATACTTAATAAGTATTAATGTGGGATGTGTGGATTCTTCCTCAATTGTAAGGCTAAATTGGGATAATTTACCTTGATTAAAAGTCGAATTTGATTTAGGCTTTGTTTGGGATGATTTTTTATTGCCTCTTAAACAGAGTTTTAATACAAAAATTAAAATTTTTGTACTAAAAATCTGTTTTAAAAAGTAATAAAAAAATAATTCCAAACGAAACCCTAATTAAATATATATGAGAGTATTGGCTGAGATAAGTGAATAAATGCTATGGTGCCATTCACAAATTTTTTTAAAAGGCTATATTAATAAATAATGTTAATAATTTAAGTATAAAATTTGATTAAATAATAAATATAAATATAAAAAACTGACCATAAACTTATTCAAATTCATGACCTTGCAACTCACATAACCCTTCACTAGTCAATGCTTGTATATTTTAGTTACAAATTCAATTGATTAAAATTGTATAAATATTATCAGATGAACAAATTGCTCATATAGCTTTTATTTTTTAAGACAATTTACTTATAAAAATATTATTAAAAATTTTTTGATATTAAAAGCTCTTTTAGAAGTGAAAAAAAAATATTTTAAAAAAATTATAATCTGAAGTGTTATAATCTAGTCAAATAATACATTTGATCCACAATGATTAACAATGGATTAAGAATTAACTCCTTTCACAGGAAAAATTATTACGTGCGGCATCTGGATTTGTCCGGAGGCAAATCCGGATACGCCACATCATCAGAGGCCGCATCACCACCATCACCTTGCTAATAATCCCCGTCCAATCTAGCATTTTGACACCGCACATAATAATCTCTCTCTCATAGAAATGTTAGTTACTTCATTCGGGGCCCACATCATCACCATCACCATCACCATCACCTTGCTAATCACTTCTATGCGCCGTGGCGCACTGCACAAATTACCCACCAATTCTACGCGCCTCATCTTCCTTTCCTATTTTCCTCCCCCAGCTTTCTCTCTCTTCACCCCTCGCCGCCCACTCCCTCTCTACATTCTCATTTTCTCTCCAGTCAATGACTTCTCGCTTTCATAGGGTTTCCTCGACCTTATCTAGACCCTCTTCGATTTCCACTAATCGACTAATCTAGGGTTCCGGCGACGGAGCCATGAGTGTAATCGGATTCGACGTTGGCAACGACAACTGCGTGATCGCTGTTGTAAAGCAGCGTGGCATCGACGTACTCCTCAACGATGAGTCAAAGCGCGAGACTCCATCGGTGGTCTCATTCGGCGAGAAACAGCGGTTTATTGGCTCAGCCGGTGCTGCATCTGCAGCCATGCACACGAAGTCAACCATATCTCAGATGAAGCGTCTCATTGGACGGGGATTCCACCAGCCGGACGTTCAGGAGGACCTCCGCCGCCTACCGTTCGCCACATCAGTGGGCGTTGATGGTGGCATCTTAATCCATATACGGTACATGAACGAGGATCGAACCTTCACGCCGGTGCAGATTCTCGGGATGCTTCTATCTCATTTGAAGCAGACCGTGGAGAAGAATCTTCAGAGCTCGGTGACCGATTGTGTTATTGGGATCCCTTCTTACTTCACCGATTCCCAAAGAAGAGCTTATTTGAATGCAGCGGCTATTGCTGGTCTGAAACCGCTTATGTTAATGCACGAAACGACTGCTACTGCTTTGGGTTATGGTATATACAAGACTGATTTGGCGATCTCCAGAGAACCTATCAATGTTGCTTTTGTTGATGTCGGCCATTGCGACACTCAGGTTTCGGTGGTGTCATTTGAGGCTGGGGAAATGAGAGTAGTATCTCATGCATCTGATTCGAATTTAGGTGGCAGGGATTTTGATGAGGTGTTATTTAGGTACTTTGCGGAGCAGTTCAAGGAGCAGTATAAAATAGACGTGTATTGTAATGCACGGGCTTGCATTAGGTTGAGGAGTTCCTGTGAGAAGCTGAAGAAGGTTCTGAGTGCGAATGCAGAGGCCCTTCTTAGTATAGAGTGCTTGATGGAAGAAAAGGATGTGAAAGGATTCATTAAAAGGGAGGATTTCGAGAAGCTATCATCTGGTTTACTCGATAGGGTTTTGGAGCCATGTAAGAAGGCTGTGTTTGAAGCTGGGTTGCAAGTGGACAGAATACAGTCAGTGGAGCTTGTTGGCTCAGGGTCAAGGATTCCAGCAATATCAAGAATTTTGTCTGGATTTTTCAGGAGAGAGCCCGGTAGATCACTTAATGCAAGCGAATGTGTAGCCCGTGGGTGTGCACTCCAGTGTGCCATGCTTAGCCCTATATTCAGGGTTAGAGACTTTGAGGTATTTTTATGTTTATTATTATTCTTCATTTCACATTTTGATTGAATAATACTCTCTACTAATTACTGTAAATAAACAATCAGTCGTTATCGTTTTGCTTGTTTAGAAATACTGAAGTTTAATGCAACATGTTAACTTGCTTTTATTATTATGAATGGGATGTCTTTAGCAGACGTGTTTTGCTTCATTTTGGAAGCATTTATAAAACACTGTCGTTGTCAGGTCCAAAGTCCTGGATGAAAAAAATGGAGAATTGCACTAAGTAGTCGGCATTCAGCGTAAAATTTGTTGAATAATCATTACATGAATCCTTTAATACATTATATTAATGCCAAGACGTTTCCGGGAAGAATCACGTTGTATGACCTGAATATAACGACAAGTGTGCAAGGATCATTGCACCGGCGCCTAGATGCAATATTAAATAGGCAAGGGTTCTCACATCATGGACTAATGTGAGTAAAGAAGCTAGTCCATGAAACTAAAATTAGGATAGGAACTTGGAATATAAGTTCCTTTATAGACAAATTAATGAAATTAATAGATATTATGATTCATAGGAAGATAAATATTCTATGCATTAAAAAAACTATATGGGTTAGAGAGAAGGCTAATGAGATTAATAGTTTAGGATTTAAATTATAATATTTTGGTAGGAGTCGTACTAGAAATGATGTAGGTGTGATTATAGATAAGAGTGTGAAGGATAATGTTGTAAAAGTTAATAGAATTGGAGATATAATTATTGCTTTAAAATTTTTTGTTGATGTAAATATTATTAATATTATAAGTGATTATACATTTATACTCTTTAAGTATGTTTGAATATATGTTCAAAATTAAAATTTTAGATGACTTAGAAGGATTAATACAAAATATGCTTTTTGAAGAAAGATTTTTGGTTGAAGGAGATTTAAATGAACATATTGATAGAGAAGTAGATGATTTTAAAAGCTTTTATGATGTCTATGAGTTTCGAACAATTAGTGAAGGTGGTAAAACTATATTAGATTTTTCATTAGCTTATGATTTTATAATTGCTAATATATTATTTAAAAAAAGAGATGAACATCTCATTACTTATAAGAATTGATATAATAAAACTCATATTGATTATTTTCTTATAAGAAAAATAAATCATTTAGATTGCAAAGATTGTAAAGTTATTCCAAATGGAAGTTTATGTACCCAATATCGCTTATTAGTTCTGAACTTTAAGTTGAATGTCATAAAATAAAAAATAAAGTAAAATTTTGTTCTAAGATTAGATGGTGACATTTAAAGAATATTAACAAAAATATTTTTTGAAAGTGAGATAGATTCTATATCTTAAATTTTTTTTTTGTGCATGTGAACACTAATATTTTGTGGCAAAAATTAACTAGTGATATTAAGAATATTGTAAAAGATATACTTGGAGTACTAAAAGAAAAAAACCCCCAATAGGAAAAATAGTTGGAGGTGGAATCAAATGTGCAAGAAAGATAAAAAATAAGAAGATTTATTATAAAATTTGGTTTAGATGTAAAAATTCTGATAATTGAGAAATATATAAAGATGCCCGTAAGGCGTCTAAAAAAATAATACGTGATGTAATGATTTTAGCTTTTAGTGATTTATATAATATATTAGATATTAATGAAGGCAAAAAATATATGTATACGTTAGCCAAACATAGAGATATGAGTAGTAACGATTTTGGTTAAAGTGAAATGCATTAATGATGGAATAAAAAAGTGCTTTTATTATAAGAGAATTTCTACAAAGGTGGATGTGATATTTTGCTAAACTTTTCAATGAACATTGTGAGAATACGATTGACTTTAGTGGCCTTAGCACCCTAAATTAAAATATTTTTTATTAGCATATTGGTAAAATTAAAGTTAGAGAGGCTTTAAAGAAAATGAATTTTGAAAAAACTGTTGGACTTGATGATATTCCAATAGATGTGTGGATATGTTTAGGAGATGAAGGAATTCTTAGCATACTAAACTTTTTTAATATTATTTTGAAGACTAAAAAGATGCCAGATGAGTAAAGAATGAGTGTGTTAATTCAAAATTTTAAGAATAAATGTGATGCATAAGATTGTGCGAATTATAGAGGAATTAAGTAAATATGTCACACTTTAAAACTATCGAAGAGAGTTATGGAGCATAGGTTGCGGCGTGATACTAATGTTTCTCAAAATCAATTTGGATTCATGCCGAGTAGGTCTACTATGGAAGTTAAGTATTTATTGAGAGGTTTGGAGAAGTGTAGAGAGAATAAGGAGGATCTACATATGATATTTATTGATTTAGAGAAAGCATATGATAAAGTTCCAAGAGAAGTGCTATGGAGAGTGCTAGAAAAGAAAGGGGTTAATAATGCTTATATTCAAGTCATTAAAGATATATATGCAGGAGTTGTTACTTGTGTTCAAACGTAAGGTGGTTTGACAAAGTATTTTCCTATTTTAGTTAGATTACATCAAGGATCAGCCTTAAGCCCTTATCTTTTTTGCTTTAATCATGGATGTTCTCACTAGACATGTGCAAGAGGTTGTACCCGTGTGTACTTTTTGTTGATGATATTCCTTGTTGATAAGACTAGAGAGGGAGTTGAAGGTAAACTTGAGTTTTGGAGGTCAACCTTAGAGTCTAAAGGTTTTTGTTTGAGTATATATAAAATTGAATATATGGATGTAATTTTAGTAGTATTAGATCTAATGGGGGTATAGTGACTTTGGACTATAAAGTCATTAATAAGAGTATACATTTTAGATATCTTGGGTCTATTGTTCAGAGTGATGGTTAAATAGATGGAGATATTATTATTAGAATTCAAGTTGGATGGTTGAAGTGGAGGAATGCATTGGGCTTATTGTGTGATAGAAAAGTTTCCCTCAAACTTAAGGGAAAATTCTATAAGATGGTGGTGAGACCCGCAATGCTTTATGATGCAGAATGTTGACCTTAAAAAGAGAAGCATAATATTAAGTTAAGTGTTGCAGATATGAGGATGCTCAAGTGGATGAGTGGCTTTACTCTTAGAGATAGGATACAAAATGAGCATATAAGTGAAAAGGTTGGAGTAGCTCCAGTGGAAGATAAGATCAGAGAGAGCCGCCTTAGATTGTTTGGTCACATAAAACGGTGGTCTTCCGATGATCCAGTTAGGAAAGTAGATGTATTAGATTTGGCTGATGTTAAGAAAGGTAGATGTAGACCTTAAAAGACTTGGTTAAAAAATATTAAAAATGACCTTTCTTTATTTGATTTAATTGAGAATTTGTCTCTTAACAAGACACAATGGAGAAAAAGGATTCATGTAGCCGACCCCAAGTAGTGGGATAAAGGTTTGATGTTGTTGTTGTCGTTGTTCTTTGTTAGAGTTACTATTTTGGCTTTACACTTTTTTTTGGAAATCTTTTGAGTGCATAATATCTAATATGCTACTATGATTATTGATGTTGTTTATGGGTATGTTTGGGATAGCTTATTTGTTTTTAAGAGAACAATTACAATTTTGTTTAACTATTATTTTCTTACTGCTATTTCACTATTTTTCAGAAATTTCAATGATGGAAAGTTGCTTTATGCAATCATAGTAGTAAAATTATTTTCTCCACAACAATTGCACAACCAACTTTATAAAATACTGCAGCCATCCCAAATAGGCCCTATGTCTCCTCATGTGACTGTGTCAAACCAGTGGTATTTTAAATCTTAATTAAGTGGCAAATACTTGTGAGCAAGGAGAAACGAAAATCAATGGAATAAATATGTATTTAAGTGGATGTTAAATAAAGAGATGAGATTCATCGAGTATATGCTGAGGGATAATACTTCTTTTACACTTATTTATCAATGACCACAGCTGATGCAGGAGAACGTGAGAGGTTTTAATCCACACCCCAAACTTCCATGCCCTAAAAGAGGGCTGCCATTTTAATCGAAAGTTATGTTACTTATCATCTTTTGGTTATCATTAAGGATTTTGCTAATAAATGTAGAATGAAAATGACAGTTTTTTAAAGATGCTATTGCTTGTGTTTCTATTTTGTCATTATTAAATGATGTCATGAAAACAAATATTAAAAAACATACATGATACTTGCATTATTTGAGATATGCTTGAATTAGGTGAGTGATTCATTTGTATTTAAGCTGAATAATGCTTGCATTATAAAAAGCTATATTTTACCGAATTATTTGTAAATGGGCCACAACCTTTGTTATGCATTAATTGCATTCGGTCATGGTTTAAAATATCAGAATTTAGAAGCTTAGTAGTTTATCGCCAGAATTGTTCTCTTTAATTTTTTTCTCCTCCCCAGTTCCCAATCCTATAAATTGGCTCGTTCCATTCATTTTTAATATCTTTGATGATCAATTAATTAGTTCGGCCAAAAATTTGGAGCTCCTTCCTGGATTCACATATAAATCCTTCAACTAATTGTTGTAGCTCTAAGAGTGTAAATTATTTTAAAGTGCATATTCAGTATCGAATTATTATTATTATTTTTTTTTGAAAATTTGACAAAGCAGTACTCCTTTGAGCCATGATATTTATCTTTTTGTTTGTTAATTTTTGAAGAACTGATTGAATGGATGTTTTAGGACCATGCTGAATTTTAGATGCAGCAGTCTGAAGCGGTTTGAGTTTTTGTTTCAAGGATCATGTCGTGTATGGGAAATGTGAGGCTTCTATGCATTGAATATTTCCCTGCAGCAGTAAAGTTCCTTTAATCTCCAAATGCTTTGATAGTTTTTCTTTACCATATATATATTTTTAATTTCTGCAAAAAACTTTTATGAACCCTCCACATTTGTGTATTTGCTATTTTTTTAATATTTTTAAAAATCCTTTCCAAATCATATTCTTGTGAATCAGAATGCAGTTTTTTTTAGTACATATAAATCTACCATTTGCAGGTACAAGATTCGTTTCCTTTTTCAATAGGCTTTTCTTCAGAGGACGGTCCTATTTCCACATTGTCAAGTAACATATTATTTCGTAAAGGACAGTGCTTTCCAAGTGTTAAAATGCTTACATTTCATCGTCCCAATACATTTCATTTGGAAGCTTTTTATGCTGATCAAAATGAATTGCCAGCTGGCACGTCCCCTAAAATATGTTGCTTCAAGGTAATTCCTTATTTTCTTAAATTCCTCATTCACAAGAGAAAGAAACAAAAGATTTATGGCACTGATGTCTTCGTATTATTACTTGTCGTTTTTGGTTGTGCTGGAAAATAAGAGAAACGCCAGATAGAAAACGGGTGACAGCAATTGGACTTCATTTGTTAATGCTTTTATTGCTAAAAACTTGGCTGCCACAATTTTGATTTTTACATGAAACATGTAACAGAAAAGCCTCTATTATATATGCGTCTCCTGACGGCCTCAGCTGACAGGCAAAACATTTGCAGTTCAGCTCTCCATTTTCTATGGACATAGTAGTAATTTTATTTAATGCAACAAAATACATAACCTTACTTTGAAATGGAGTTTAACTTATTCTTATCCCAATTATTTGAGTTGTACAAATCCTTCTTCTTTGCTGTTTCTTTTATGATGTTACTTATGGTGTTAATCCTATTTAACTTGAGTCTTTTTGCAATTCTAGCTATTTTTCCCTGGTGTACTCGATTTCCACATGTTCCTAATTCCCCAAATCTCCTCACCATTGACGCACATGCTGTTCTTCATCATACCTACACAAGCCGCATTAATTTATATTGCACTATGTTTTATTTAGATGCATTATTCTCATGTTTTCTGTAATATGTTTTTCAATCGCTACCCCATCATAGTATCTTTCCATATTTACTACATAATGGGTTATATCGAGGGTTATTCTTCCAATACCCCGAATCTGCTCTTTTTTTCCGATGAGTGGTAGTTTAGGTGGACTTTCCATTGCCTTTATATCCCCTTAAAAATGATAAAATGATGATCTGAAGCTATCCTCACAATGTTATAATGTAAGCCAACAAAAAGAGAACGTAATGTATAGGACAAGTGGTATCAGAATTTTCGTGGAAGACTTCTCTCACGTTTGATTCCTTGCTATAGACAACAAGTTTTTGGATAGTTTTCTCTCCTGTAAATTGAAATACTACTGATTTCTTCTCTTATTTGCTGTAGATGGCAAAAATATCCCTATTGCCCTTCTTTGGATGTAACATAATAATGGTAATGGGTTTGTGTGATTTTGGGGTCTTCAAGGAGCAGAGCGGAGAGAGCAACATGAGCAAATTTGTTGTGGTTCCTTAAGGAGGTCCTTTTGCATCATGTAGTCAATGACCATAAAGAGAGGAGATGCTGCAGGACATATATGAGATTACGATTTAGATAAGGATTTTGCACGCTTAATGATTAAGAGCAATTTTATTAAATGTTTATGATGATTTAAGCAATGAGATAAAACACAAAGAGTGGTAGACACAAGCTTAAGCCAAGTTACTTACGAAAAGTAAAAACTACAAAACAACTAATTACTCTTGACGTTGCATACGAGATAAGTTTCAACAAGAATTCCTAATCTAACAATAAGAGCAGTGATATAAAAGATCTCTCACACAAGTTTCATAAACACTAAGCTTTAGCGAAGCATTGCAAGATTTTTCACGAGTCAATCAAAACCACAAATAAGGATCAACGAGGAAGGTGAGAGAAGGGAAGAGTTCAGCTTTGCCAAGATTAAACTTTCCTGCAAGCTTGGACAGCAGTTCGTGGCTGTAGGAACCTTTGGACAGCACACTTTTATGTCCTGAAAACTTCAGGCAGGGAGTGGAGACTTCTCCCAGCAGTTGGACAGCAAGGTGGACAACTGGAGTCTCTGGACAACACTTGAATTGGGGTTGACAGCAGGTGGAACCAATCTGGACAGCAGTTTTGCTGAGTTAGGGAATTCTGGACAGCAAGGAAGACCTCTCGGAGATGCAGGTTGTCCACATTACCATAGCATTAATTGCAATTGAGAATTAAATCTGAGATTTAATCTCAGATTTGGTGGTGATTGAGTTTCTTTCCTAAAGGAATTAGACTTAATTAGAAGGCTTTTGAAATTCAAATTATTTTGAATTAGAATTCAAATTCTTTTCAAAAATACAAGGGGCCAATTATGGAAAATATTAATGGTAGTTTTAAATGGGATTTAAGGGGAAGGGGGACGTGGAGGTCGGCGGATTGGTCTTGGGTGGAGGGGCCGGTGGCTTGAGGTGGCGGAGGAGGGTGGCTCTAGGGAAAAAAGGGGACGGATGGGCTTGACCAACGGCTTTGGGAAAGGACTCGGCCGATGGTGGTGGGAGGCAAGGGTGGGGTGTTGGCCAAGAGGGGAGAGAGGAGGGGAAGAGTCGACAGCTTGTGGCTGGGAGGGCTTAGTCCGGCGCCAAGGAAGGGGATGAGTGAGAAAAGAAGAAGGGAAGAGAGAACTAGGAACCCGGACGCTTCCAAGGTTGTTAGGTGATCCGTTTTCACTCTCCTAGGGATTTCTCCAAAGCTTTCAAAACTCTCACCATCAAGAGAACAATATGTAGGAATTTTCTTTCATTATCATCATTAACCCTCAAAGAAGGAGGGGAAGACTTTAAATAGCTAATACAAAATGACAAATAAAAGTACTAATATGCCCTAGGGTTTACACATGTCTAAAACCTTAAGTAAGGCAAAACTGGAAAAGACATAATAAAAATCATAATTAAAACTAATACATCAATAATAAAAATGAACATCAAAAGTAGTGAGGGGCGATCGTAGCCGTAGATCGATGGCCACGTCTCTGATAGACTTTCCAAGGCCTTATGTCCTCATCAGGAGAGGAGGAGAAGATATAAAAGAGGATTTTGTAGAATTCGTATTGATTGTGGGAATTCAACCTTTAAATAAGCAATTAAATCATGAATTAAATTTAAATTCATGTCCATCTTTTTCTAAAATAACTTTACAAATTAAGCGAAAGCCTATCTTTCCCAAATTTAATTTTCAAAATAAATAATGCTTATTTAAAGCAACTTAAATTGAATATTCAACTAGCCTAGGAAATAAATATATATGGATTGATTGACCTCACCAATGCTCGCCTTCCTCTTGATTGCCAATCGATAATTTATATTTCTTGAATTATTATTTTTATCATGAAGTGTTTGCATGACGATGACCTGTCTTCACCTATGAAATCTTGATTTTTGGTTATCAATCTCAATGATCGAGACTTGAATCACCACCATTGACAATCTTCATCAAAATATCAAACCATTAAAATTTCCGTAATTCCAATTCCTTTGGTCTCTTCAAATTTTGATGCCCAAATTATGATTATGGATGATTCGATTAATCATTCTCTTGATTTGATCTCCAAATCACTAGCTCTCATTAAGAGAAGGATTTCACTCCAAATTTATAGCTCTAGATGAGGGAAGGTTGATTTCCCAACCTCCAAGCTATACTACTTCGCTGCACTGGGTAATTAACCATTCTTGCCAATGTGGTGAGTCTTCTTTTTATTACGCCTTGTGATTGTTCTCTTATTTAGAAGAATGTTAATGTTACATCGTTTTTTACCAGTAGATCATCAATTACAAGAAAGTTTTGTTTCAGCTCACCCTTAATACTGAAATGGTTTTATGTTCTCAACTTTTACCTTTGAAAATATCTTCATGAATGACAACTTTAATTGATAGGCATTGTCTTTAATATTTTTGATAATCTAGAATGGTTCATTTTGAAGTGATTTTAATTTATTTCTTTCTCGCTTGAGTCAATCCTCTAAATGCAACCATATCACCTGCTTGGAAGTTGGCATTTACATAATGACAAACGATCATTTCCTTATTTTTTGTTGAGTTTTCTGGAACTTGATCTTCACCAGCATGTGAATTTACATTAATTCCACCATCAGTAGTGGAGATGAAGGGGAAGTGTAGATTGAATTGGCTTATGTGGTTTGTGCTAACCCAAACAAACCTCAATCTTTATTCTCAAGCGGCGTATGGCTCGGTCGAAGGAAAATTGTTGGTAAGGTAGGCTATCATCCTAAATTTTGAGATATTTGCTTTCTTTATTTGACAATCTTCACAAAAAAATGCTTTCTCACAGCCACTTGGCATGGGCAATAGTGCATGCAATAAGAGCTTTCAGCTTGTAGGCTTATAGGTGCTGCACAAGAGGCACACATTTATAATCTTCTTGATATCCTATTGTATTTCAGGCCAATTGGGCATTGCAAATTCTATTTTATTTTGTCCACTCCCAAGTGTCTAACTGCTTGAATGAATGCGCCTTTCATATCTATTGTATTCAGTTCACCAAATCTGGTACGCACGTCCTTCTTTGTAAGTGAGGCCATCCTATATGGTAAATTCCAAAGAAGACACCTTCCCAAGTCTTCCTTGTATTCATTTTACATAGTTGGTTCATCTTGCTTAATAATGCTAAAATAACAAAGGATTGGTGATGGCGAGGCATCTTGGAAGTAAAAAAACAGCTAATAGATAGAAGAAAAAAATCAGAAATACAAATATGTGGGCTGATTTTTAATTACTTCTTCAACAATACCAAAAGATACAATTGATCTACTATTCGAGAGGTAGATCGACTCTCCCACAAACCCTAGTTGTTGATGGGAAATTTATACCAAACCCTAGAAAATAAACTCAACACATATATCATTATAACCCTAGACAAGATTCCCCCTTAAATAGCCCTCACACACAACAACAACATCAAGCCTTTATCCCACTACGTGGGGTTGGTTACATGAATGCTTTTTCTCCATTGTGTCCTATTAAAAGTCAAATTCTCGTTTAAATCTAATAAAGAAAGATCATTTCTAATATTTTCTAACCAAGTTTTTTTAGGCATGCCTCTACCTTTCTTAACATAAGTCAAATCTAATACCTCTACTTTTCTAACCGGGTCAGCGAAAGGTCGCCGTTCTATGTGACATAATTAGAACCTTCCTAAAAAATAAACATAGCATAATTAGAACCTTCCTAAACAACATTATCACATTTAGGAAATTTTTCTAAATAATAAAAATATTCCTAAAAAGCATAAGCATAATTAGGAAAACTTCCTAAAAAATTAAAACATTCATAAATAATATAAACACAATTAAGAAACCTTCCTAAATAGCTCCCCCA